TATGGTGGTGGCACAGGGGTGATTTGGTGATGGGAAACCCGTGGGGATTACAATTGAGATGAAAAAAAATGTGAAAAATGATGTAAAAATAAACTTTTTAATAAAATAAAAAAAAATAGCCCATTCTCTTCTCTAAATAGTATATTTGACATATCTCACAGAGATAAGATAGCATTCAAAATCCAGCAGTATACAATGAGGTTTCCTTTTTACAATCGCTTTAGTTTATTAACTCTTTAAACCTGTTTATTCCAAATACATTGGATATTTTTGACTAAATATCCAAAAATATTTGAGTTTATGTTCATAACTCCAGAACAAGGCTTTACCTCTGAGTTTTACCATTTATACCTTCCATCTGGCTAAAAACTCTCAAGAATATCATAAGGTAGATACATCAACTCTGATGTAAACGAAGAGCTGTTTGAGGGGTGAAATGACTCCACAAAGTCTAGTGGGAATAAGGAGCTTTCAGTTTCTAGGTCTCATCTGCTTTAGTGTTCTTCCTGTACCTTGCAATGATCATATCCTTACCACTGGGGCAAATTATGGTACTGCCTCTCAGGGAGACCACAATCTCTGAGTGCCCTTCACATGATTGCGTCTGAGCTGACTCTACTTCAGTTCTCAGCTTGCTTAAGATTTTCTAGATTTCCTCTACAGCACAGACACTTAAGATGGGGCCAGGGGGTAAGGGAGGTAAGTGGAACTTCATGAAGTCAGCAAACACTGAATGTGAATCTCTACTGCCCATCATTCCCAACTGCAAGCAAGAATTCCAGTCTACATTTTATTCTTTTATCTCTTCTGAAAGCTTCCCTGGCCTCCTTTCCATGCACCATTCCTTTTCTTACATGCAAGATTGCTAGGAGGATCAGTAAAAAGCTAGTCACCTTGTGATCTCCTCCATCACATTAGAGTTCTCTGCTAAAACTCTAAACTCCCAGGGCAAATCATGACTAGAGCTAGATGGAGACATTGGAATAGCAGGGTGTGGGAAAACCAGGACAGTGTCTGGCAGTCATGTCTCTAGTCATACATTGTCTACAAATCAATACTTCACAGTTTATTTTGTCATCTTTGATACAGGTCTAAGTAGCAAAACAAAATTGGAATAAAAGACCTCTGCAACCCAAAGCTCAGCAACCTAAAAATTCATGTGTGTCACACAGCTGTTCCACTGTGCAGCAAAAAGGATGACCTCAGCCCAGCCAGCCAGTCAGGCCCCAGATGCACAATTCAAGCCCATCCTGTTCCTGCTTCAGTTTGCTGCCAGCTGGTGGCTGTTGTTTTCTGCAGTCTGTATCAATAGGGCTGATTCTGAGTCTTATGACTGAGACTTCCAGTTCAGGGTCACAGGGACTTCAGAAATTTCTCTCAACTGTGAATCTGGACAAATTAAGCCAGAAAAAAAAGAGCAACATGGGTCCTACTACCATTTCCTGGCTTCCTTGAGACTGGATAATACAGTATTTGTCTATCCTGCCTTACCCTTCACCTAGAGGTTAAAGCTTTGGACTTGACATCTCCTCTTTAGGAGCAAAGGTCAGGGTAAAAGCCAAGTCTCAGTTACTAATTGTGTTTTCTCTACTTTGCAAAGTTTGGGGTTAAGTGCATATCATATATGTGTGATAAGAATAAATCTAATCTCTTTCAGTTTCCTTTATCAAATATTTGAATGCAATCATTTCTAATTCTTTATTCTTTGAAGTTCTATGCATGTTTAACTTTTTTCCAAAAGTAAAATTTGGTGATAATTAGAAGACATTTGAAAGTTAGAATACTGGTGATTTAGTAAAATTAATTTTTAATGATACCATTGGGCATGAATATAAAATAATGTGGTGAAGTTTTTTGCCTGCCTTGTGGAAATAACTTTTCATAATGATACAGAGAGATCTTAATACTTAAGAAATGGGTTCTTAGTTCCTGGAAGATGCTGTAATTCATCCTTTCCCAGAACAAGGATTTTACGCATACTTTTTCCTCTATCTAAAATGTTCTCATTTTTCCTTGACACCCCATTAACACTTATTTATCCTTCCGATGTCAGTTCAGATGTTACTTCTTTAGGAAGTCTTTCCTGATTTCTTTTACAGAACTCAGGACAGTGACCCTATTTTTTCATTATAGTTGAGTCGCTGAAAAACATAGAGCTCAACAACAAAATCTACTAATACATTTCAATTTAATAATTCTAAAATGCTAAAAACTGACTTTGATTGTCAAATGCAGAGAAACTAGTTCTCTTTCACATTGCTGGTGAGAATATAAAATACCATAGCCACTCTAGAAAATGGCTTTGCAGTTTCTTATAAAACTAAATAAATACTAACCCTACAACCCACAAATCACATACCTGGGCACTTATACCAAAGAAATTAAAATGTATGTTACATAAAAGCATGCACATGAGTGCTCATAGTAACTTTACTGGAATAGCCGAAAACTAGAAACAACTTAAATATCCTTCAGTGGATGAATGGTCAAACTAACATATTCATTTCATGAATACGCCAAAACTCCAAAAGAAAAAAAGTACCAAATACTGATACATCCAACAGCTTGATATATCTACGGGGTATTAGGCCAAGTAAAAGAGGTGATGAACAATCCATATAGAGTGTCAAAAGGTGATACTCCTGGCCCATGATTCATGCCCAGCTTGTGCACGTGTGTGTGCTTGTATGAGAGAGAGATCAGAGAAAGCTACTCCTTTTTTTTTTTTTTTTAAAGAGAATTGTCAACTGTAGGAACAGCAAATGGGATATCTCAAAAATAAAGTAGAAAAGCATCCCAAAAAAGAACTCAGAAGGGAAAACTAACATTTCGCTCCTTAAGCTATTAGTTTGGCTAAGCTGACACTGGTTATGGTATCAGAGTGAAGCATGGGATAAAGAATTCAAGAAAAACAGACCCATGTCTCCTGGAGTGAGCAAAGACTTAAAACCAATGCCTGATCCCACTCAACACAGACTGAAGGTTTAAAAAAAAAAAAAAAAAAGCCTGGCAGAACTGGCTCTGATGGTAGGGCTAGATTTAGAGAATGGGTGACACTCGACTGAGCAAAGGGCAAAAGCCACATGGGCACAACTAAAGTAAGCAGGCATGAGTCACCTTGAAAGCAACTTAGCCAAAAAGGTAAGTTGTCTGAAACAGAAAGAAGCTGAATTTGTAATCACCAAGAAACATTGATATTATGAAGAACTATAACAGAGAGGTACCAATGGAGATTTGACAAACACTGAAACACTCAAGACTCTTCCATGGAAGAGAATGTCAAAAAAGTTGAGAGTACAGACAAAAACATTTTTTCTTGTCCTCTGGAAATAATCAAGACATTGGGGTTTTCATTCATAATGAATAGGATTCATAACACCTGAAAATGAAAACTTTTCACTAGGGCCTAAAAATGATAATACAGCTGAGGGGTTAGCCAAAGATATAAAGAGAGCAGAAAAGCCCACAAAGTATGTCTGACAGGCAAACACAGAGAAAGTCAAATCACTTCCAGATTGCCTTCTATCAAGTGCAATCCTTTCAATTAATTATTACAAATAATATCTTTCCTTTGTGGCATTATGCTATCATGTAGCAATCTTTGCTCATGCTAAAAGATAAAAAAAAAAAAGGTCTTCCTCTGATGTCCCACATCACATTAATCTTGAATGTTATGAAGAGCTATCTTTAATAAAATTATTGCTTGCTTTGGAAGACTATTGATTTCCTAAGTCAGATGGTGCTTCACTGCAATTCAGGTGTTTCCACCTCATTCACTAGTCCATTCCGCTTTCTTCTTGTGAGAGTGGGCTGGCCTGGTACCAGTCCATGCTGTAGTTGTTAATCAGTGATAAATAAAATTATTAGTGATTTTGTGATTTTTCTAGGGGTTTTATTTATACTAAACAAAATCATAAA